CCGGTCGTCCTGATTCTTGGTTCAAAAAACTTGAGAATGAAGAGGAAGTAAAGAAAGAAAAAGATAAGGGAGGAGAGAAGGAAGGGAAGTGAAAAAGAAGGGACAACGAAGAAGGGGGAAAAGGAAGGAAGGAAAAAGCGACAAGGAAGAAGGGGGGAAAGAGAAAGAAAAAAGGGAGAAGAGAAGAGGGAGGAGAAAAAGGAGAGACAATGAAGAAGGGAGAAAAAAGAAAAGATAAGGGAGAGAAGGCAGGGAAGAGGAAAAAGGAGAGACAATGAAGAAGGGAAAGAGGAAAGAAAGATAAGGGAGGAGAAGAAAGGGAAGAGAAAAGGAGAAACAATGAAGAAGGGGGAAAAGAGGAAAAGATAAGAGAGGAGAGAAGGAAGGGAAGAGAAAAGGAGGGACAATGAAGAAGGGAGAAAAGAGGGAAGAAAGATAAGGGAGGAGAGAAGGAAGGGAAGGGGAAAAGGAAAGAAAATGAAGGAAAACAAAAAGGGGACAAGGAAGAGGGGAAAGAAGAAAAGAAAGAAAAAGATAAGGTAAATGAGAAGGAAAGAGAAGAAGGAGAGACAAGGAAGGAGGAAGGAAAGAAAGCAAAAGAAGAATCAAGGAAGGGGGAAAGAAAAAACAGCAAGGAAGAAGGGGAAACAAAGGAAAGAAAATCACGAGAAGGAAGGGGAAAAGAAAGACAAGAAGAGAAAAAAGAAGACAAGGAGAATGAAAGGAAGGAAAGGAAAAGGGACAAGTAAAGGGGGACGAAAAAGAAGGAAAGAAAAAGAAATGAGGAAGAAGGGGAAAAAAGATAAGGGAAATGAGAAGAGGGTGACAGAAGTAAGAAGGAAAGAAACGAGAAGGAAGTAAAGAAAAGTGGAATAGAAACAAGGGATAAGGAAGAAGGGAAAGAAAGAAAGATAAGAAATGAGAAGGAAGGGAAAGGGCCAAGGAAGAAGGGGAAAGGATGAGAAAAGAAAGAAAGAAAAGATAAGGGAAGGGAGAAGAAAGGGAGAAGGTAGGAAATTGAAACGAGACGAAGAAGAACAGAAAGAAGGAAGAAAAAGGAGGAAAGAAAATGTGTGTATGAGTAAATCTATATAAAATATTGTGTATAAATTGAAAGAGACAATATATAATATTGCATTATTACATATTCATAATATAATATTACAGTATTATGCATGCATGTATGTATACACAGAGACATTCCTTCTTTCCTTCCTTCCTTCCTTCCTTCCTTCCTTCCTTCCTTCCTTCCTTTGTGTAGCAGCAGGGTGCAGTCAAGGACAACTATCAAGGCAAATAGAACAAAGTGGAATAGGCGCTGGCATAGGGACCTCTATCTCTACCTATCTCATAGAATCCTAGAGTTGGAAGAAACTCCAAGGGCCATCCAGTCCATCCCCCTGTATCTATCTATCCATCTATCTACCTATCAAAAGACAGACAGACAGACTGAAATACTTAGGGTTGGACTGGATGACCCTTCGAATCTCTTGCAATTCTAACATTCAGATAGATAGATAGATAGATAGATAGATAGATAGATAGATAGATAGATAGATAGATAAGATGGACGGACTGGGTGGCTCTTGCAACTCTAGTATTCAATGAGATGGGTGGATGATGAATGAATAGATAGATGAGCTGGATGGATAGACAAACAGCTGGATAGACAGATAACATGGATGGATGGATGGCTACATAGACATAAGGTTGGACTGGGTAGCCCTTTGAGTCTCTTGCTTCAATTAGATGGATAAATGGAGAGATAGGTAAATAGGTAGATTAAATAGATAAGCTGGATGAATGGACGGACAGACAGATAGATAAGCTGGATGAATGGATGGATGGCTACATAGACATAAGGTTGGACTGGGTGGCCCGTTGAGTCTCTTGCAACTCTAGAATTCAATGAGATGGATGGATAGGTAGATAGCTAGATAGATAAGCTGGATGGATGGACGGACAGATAGACAGACAGATAAGCTGGATGGATAGATGAGCTGGATGGAGGCTGCATTGACATAATGTTGGACTGAGTGGCCCTTTGAGTCTCTTGAAACTCTAGAATTCAATGAGATGGATGGATGGATGGATAGATAGATAGATACACAGACAGACAGCTAGATGAGCTGGAGGGATGGATAGACAGACAGACGGATAGACATATAACATGGATGGATGGTTGGTTGAACTGGGTGACCCTTTGAGTCTTTTGGAACTAGGAATCAATGAGATGAATGAATGGAGAGATAGATAGATAGATAGATAGATAGATAGATAGATAGATAGATAGATAGATAAGCTGGATGGAAGGACGGACAGATAGATAAGCTGGATGGACAGATAGATGAGCTGGATAGATAGATAGATAGATAGATAGATAGATAGATAGATAGATGAGCTGGATGGATGGATGGATGGATGGATGGATGGATGGATGGATGGATGGATGGATGGATAGCTGGATGGCTACATAGACATAAGGCTGGACTGGTGGCCCTTTGAGTCTCTTGCAACTCTAGGATTGAATGAGATGGATGGATGGGTAGATAGACAGACAGCTAGATGAGCTGGAGGGATGGATGGATAGACAGACGGATAGACATATAACATGGATGGATGGATGGATGGATGGATGGATGGATGGATGGATGGATGGATGAACTGGATGACTTTGAGTCTTTTGCAACTAGGATTCAATGAGATGGATGGATGGGTAGATAGACAGCTAGATGAGCTGGAGGGATGGATGGATAGACAGACGGATAGACATAAAACATGGATGGATGGTTGAACTGGGTGACCCTTTGAGTCTTTTGCAACTCTAGGATTGATAGATAGATAGATAGATAGATAGATAGATAGATAGATAGATAGATATTCAGATACATAGATTGATACATAGATAACTGGATGGATGGATGGATAGATGGATGGAGAGATAGATAGATAGATAGATAGATAGATAGATAGATAGATAGATAGATAGATAGATAGATAATAGATAGATAGATGGCTACATAGACATAAGGCTGGACTGGTGGCCCTTTGAGTCTCTTGCAACTCTAGGATTCAATGAGATGGATGAATGGAGAGATAGATTGATAGGTAGATAGGTAGATAGATAAGCTGGATGGATGGATGGTTGGATAGACAGACAGATAGATAAGCTGGATGGATGGACGGACAGACAGATAGATAAGCTGGGTGGGTGGATGCATGGTTGAATAGACAGACAGATGAGCTGGAGGGATGGATGGATGGCTACATAGACATAAGGTTGGACTGGTGGCCCTTTGAGTCTCTTGCAACTCTAGGATTCAATTAGATGGATGAATGGAGAGATAGATTGATAGGTAGATAGATAAGCTGGATGGATGGTTGGATAGACAGACAGATAGATAAGCTGGATGGATGGACGGATGGACAGACAGACAGATAGATAAGCTGGGTGGATGGATGGATGGTTGAATAGACAGATGAACTGGAGGGATGGATGGCTACATGGACTGGGTGGCCCTTTGAGTCTCTTACAACTCTAGGATTCAGTGAGATAGATGGATGGACCGACCAACCGATAGACATAAACATGGATGGATAGATGGATTAATACATAGACAGACATAAGATTGGACTGGGTGACCCTTTGAGTCTTTTGTAACTCTAGGATTCAATGAGATGGATGGATGGATGGACGGACGGACGGACAGACAGACAGACAGATAGATAGATGAGCTGAATGGAAGGGTGGCTAGCAAGGTAGAGAGAGAGATACATAGGGACGGACTGGATGGCCCTTTGGATCTCTTGCAATTCTAGAATTCAATGAGATGGATAGCTGAACAGATAGATAGACAGACACAGTCTTCTGTGGTTTGTCGCCCTGTGCAAAGGAACTTTTCTGCAACTTTGCCGAGCGTCTCCTGGCAATGCAGGCCGGCCTGTTGCCTGCTCCGGCTGGGCCGCAAGCCCCGCTGCCTGGGGATTAAGGAGAGGCATTGGAGGGTGAAATGGGTTCTTCTGCGAAAGGCGAGGGCCGGTCGGGGGCCTTCCTTCCTTTCCCCGTATCTGGGCCACGAGCCACTCTTCCCCAAGAACTCCTCTCGTGTGCCTCCGGCGCCGAAGCCGCAGCGCATCCGTTCCGCTCCAGTAACTGCAGCCGAGGATTTGTGGCAGAAAGGTTTGCCTTCCTTTCTCCTTTCTTTCTGGCCCACTTTTTGCCGTCCAAGAACGAAACCCACCAACTTTCCGAGAGGAAATTCAATGCAAAGCCGCATGGATGGATAGGGCCTTCTTAAAGCTAGAGGTGGTTTCATCGTTCCAAAATATAGAGGGGGTTGCGGTTTACGTTTGCTGGGGATCTCCCATCCAATAGGTCCCTATGGGGAGAAAGGTGGGATAGAAAAAATATTAATATTAATAATAATAATAATAATAATAATACAACAACAACAACAATAATGTCCCATAAGGAGCAGGAAAGAGAATCAAGTCAAGGTCTTGGCTTGATTCCAAACGATGCTTCATCTGACGACAGATCCTGTACTTGGGACTTTTATCTCCTAATTATACTATGCCCCAAGTGGCCAGAAATGGGTTTTGTTTTAGCCTTGAATCCCTTATCATTCTTTCTTTGAGCCTGGCAGAATGCCTGAGAGACTGATCTGCTTTCCTATTCTGACTAATAACAGGAGAGAAATAGTTGAACTACAACCAGTATTTGTGAAGAGGAACAAGTGTGAATGTTACAATCGGCAAACTTGAGTAGCCACGCAGCTGCAAAGTCAATCCATGAGGGTATCTGCATAGAGGTAGCCTGGCTGTTGTTGCCTGGAGGCGCCCTCTGTTTGGGAGGTGTTGTTTGTTTGCCATTGTGTGGATTACAAGGTGTACTATACAGATGTTGTTTGGCTTCGAGTAAGTTTGATGAGTTAATTACAATATCTATATCTATCTGTACTTACTTACTTAGGCGATCTCTCGTAGTCTGAGGATGATGG